ATGCATCAAGAAGGAACAAAAAAAATTTTAGTGGTGCATTCGTGCAATGGACCCCTGCGGTGGTTAACAGGCTCGAGTTTTAGCTGTCCTGATGTGCAGCCGTCTTCAGATCCATCCAGTAATAAAGGGTTGCAGTGTTTGTGGGTCCCACTAGGGGACAGCATGGGACCGGGAGACCTGCCTGAGTGCTTTGATCCCGTTCTCAAATTATTGAAGGTTCTGATTCTCTTGTTCCTACCTTTTTTTCTTTTATTTACCTATGCGTTTCTATCCTTTTTTCCCATTACCTTCCTTCCAGAGGCAAACATCTCAAATCTTCAATGTATGTCTTTTTTTATTGGTAAGTGTCTTTGATAAACATATTTTGCTGTCGTCGATGCACATATGGATGTCACCTGCCTCGCAAGGCATCGTGCTTTGGTATCTCACTTTGTCTACTCTTTCATGATTTGCATGTCTGCGTAAACGTTTGGTAGACATTCAGGAAAGTGCATCTAAAAGTACTGCTCAAAGAGTTGTCACAAAGCAAACACACTTGTGATTTGTGTGACCTGTCCCCAGGTCAAGAAATAAAACAATTTGTTATTGTGTGTGTGTGTGTATATACACACCCTCACCCTCCCTTCCAGTTTCCAGCTATCCCATGGTTAAGCACTGATTTCTCTCACCATAAACTAGTTTTCCCTGCTGTGAACTACATGTAAATGAAATCACAGTGTCTGCCTTTCTGTGCTCAACAGAAAGTTGGTGAGATTCATCTGTGTTGTTGTGTTTTTGTAGATCGGGGGTTGGCAAGCTTTCTCTGTAAAGGGCCAGAGAGTAAATAGTTTAGGCTTTGTGGGCCAGACAGTCTCTGTCCCAACTCCTCCACTCTGTCTTTGTCATGTGAAGTCGGCCATGGGATGATATGTAAATGATGGGTGTGGCCGTGTGCCAATAAAACTTTATTTATAGAAATAAGTGCTGGGCTGTGTATTAGTCAGGGTCCTCAAACAGAACCAATAGGGTGTGTGTGTGAGAGAGAGAGAGAGAGATTTAGTTTGAGAAACTGGCTCATGCAGTGTGGGGCCTGCAAGTTTAAAATTTGTAGGGCAGGCCAGGAGACTGGAAATGCAGGTAAGAGTCGATGTTGTTAAATCTGAAATCTGTAGGGCAGATTGCCAAGCAGGCTGCAAACTTGAGCAGGATTTCTAGGCTCCAGCTTGGAGAGAGAATTCCTTCTACTCTGGGAAACCTCCGTATCTTGCTCTTAAGGCCTTCAACTGATTGGATGGGGTCCACCCACATTTTGAGGGATCATCTCCTTCACTTTACAAATATAGATATATATATTTGGTGGCTGGCCAGTACGGGGATCCAAACGCTTGGTTACCTCTGTAAAGATCCCATCTCCAGGGCCGGCCCGGTGGCGCACTGCTACAGTGCACCGCTTGGGAGTGCGGCGGCGCTCCTGCCGAGGGTTCGGATCCCACATACAGACCGGGTCCCGCTCACTGGCTGAGCGAGGTGCGGGAGCAGCACCGAGGGTTGCGATCCAGTTGCCGGTCCCGATCCGGTACGGGCGCGACACTGAGGGTTGCGGTCCGTTGCCGGACACGAAAAAAGACAAAAAGGAAAAAAAAATATTCCATATCGTATAACTTCGTATAATGTATGCTATACGAAGTTATTACGATTCCTCCCACCCAACTCCTCCACTCTGTCTTTGTCATGTGAAGTCGGCCATGGGATGATATGTAAATGATGGGTGTGGCCGTGTGCCAATAAAACTTTATTTATAGAAATAAGTGCTGGGCTGTGTATTAGTCAGGGTCCTCAAACAGAACCAATAGGGTGTGTGTGTGAGAGAGAGAGAGAGAGATTTAGTTTGAGAAACTGGCTCATGCAGTGTGGGGCCTGCAAGTTTAAAATTTGTAGGGCAGGCCAGGAGACTGGAAATGCAGGTAAGAGTCGATGTTGTTAAATCTGAAATCTGTAGGGCAGATTGCCAAGCAGGCTGCAAACTTGAGCAGGATTTCTAGGCTCCAGCTTGGAGAGAGAATTCCTTCTACTCTGGGAAACCTCCGTATCTTGCTCTTAAGGCCTTCAACTGATTGGATGGGGTCCACCCACATTTTGAGGGATCATCTCCTTCACTTTACAAATATAGATATATATATTTGGTGGCTGGCCAGTACGGGGATCCAAACGCTTGGTTACCTCTGTAAAGATCCCATCTCCAGGGCCGGCCCGGTGGCGCACTGCTACAGTGCACCGCTTGGGAGTGCGGCGGCGCTCCTGCCGAGGGTTCGGATCCCACATACAGACCGGGTCCCGCTCACTGGCTGAGCGAGGTGCGGGAGCAGCACCGAGGGTTGCGATCCAGTTGCCGGTCCCGATCCGGTACGGGCGCGACACTGAGGGTTGCGGTCCGTTGCCGGACACGAAAAAAGACAAAAAGGGGAAAAAAAAAAAGATCCCATCTCCAAATAAGGTCACATTCTGAGGTCCTGGGGGTTAGAACATGAACACATAACTTTTTTTTTTTTTTTTTTTTTTTGCAGCAGGCTGGTACAGGGATCTGAACCCTTGACCTTGGTGTTATAACACCGTGCTGTATGTAACACACTGAACTAACCAGCCATCCCCTAAACATATGCATTTGGACGGGGACACAATTCAACCCACACACGCTGTTATAGATACAGACGGTTCTTTCTGACTGCTGTGTAACGTTCCACCGCACGAATATAACCTCCCGTTTCTCACTACTCCAGTGTGGATGTTTATTTGGGTTGTTTCCAGTTGAGGGCTCTTGTGAGTAAAGCTGCCGCGTACGTTCCTATGTGTGGGTTTGGTGGACAGATGTGGCACTCGGGTTGGGTGTGCACCGATCTGTTTTCACTAGGTGGGCACAGACGGCTTCCAGAAGGGCTGCCTCAGTCCCAATTCCTCCCAATGGAACACGTGGGCTTCCACACCCCCACACCCCTGCCAACCTCTCCGCGTCATCTGTCTCTCTACCTTCACCCCTCTGATAAGGGTAAAGTGATCCCCCACTGTTGTGCTTATTTATTTATTTTTTTTGCAGCTGGCTGGTACGGGGATCCGAACCTGTGACCTTGAGATTAGAAGGGTGCGCTCTACCCAACTGCGCTAACCGGCCAGTGCTACTGGGCTTCTTTCTTTCTTTCTTTATTTGGCAGCTGGCCAGTAAAGGAATCCGAACCGTCGCCCCTGGTGTCGTCAGCACCACACTCTAACCAAGTGGGCCACCGGCCAGCCCAGTGTGTTAAGCTGCTGACGGGGCTGAGCATTTCCTGGGCCTGGTGGTCTTAGGGCTTCTTTCCTTTGAAAATCGCCTATTTGTACACACTGTCCACGTTGTTCTAGGGGTGCCATCTTTTTGTACTGGTTTTGAGGAGCAAGGCCACCATACTGCACACCTCTGGGGCAAACATTCCCAGTGGGATCTCTTGGGACTCAATTATACTAGAGTGAGAATGCATACTCGGTGCAGCAGCCCTGGGCAGGGCTTCCTCGCATAGTGCAGCCATCGGCCGGGCTGATTCTTCTCCTGCCCTGTCCCCTCTCTATTCCTTCTGTTCATGGTGCCCTTTATTGGGCAGAAATCCTTAATTTTGATGTTATTGAATTCACACACTTTTTGTCTTATTACCTGTGCCTTGGAAGTTTTGTTTAACGCGTCCTTTCTCGTCCCCAGGTCATAAGGCCCTTCTGTGTTTTCTTCTATTAACCTTCCCATTTTATCTTCCACATTTAGGTCTTTAATCCAGGTGGCATCTGCCTCTGTGAGTGATGCCAGGCAGGGAACCAATTTTACTTTTCTTATAGAGCAAGTCAGTTTTCTCCAATGCCGCTGACCGAACAACCTGTGCTCTCTATTCCAGTGTGGATGTTGGCTTGTGATGTCACCCCTAAAGATGTACAAGGGTGCGTCTCTCCGATGCGTCTACTGGATTATTATAAGCATATTTTCCCACCAGATGTCATTCGTGAGGTTAGGACTTTTACAGTCTCCATTTGAGAGACGGGGAAACTCAGGCCCAGGGAAGGGAAGAGTGCTTCCCAAAGTCATGCTGGGTAGGAGGTTGAGTTTAGAGTCAGGACTGGAACCCAGGGTGGAGTCGAACATTTTCATTAGTTTGATTTCTATCCATCAGTCTCAAGCAGCTGTTGGCAAACTTTTACGTGAAAAGTTAGATAGCAAATATCTTTGGTTTTGAGGGCCAGGCAGTGCCTGTCATGACTACTCAACTCTGCTGTTGCAAAAAGCCACCAAAGACAACACATAAAAGAATGGGTGTCGTTTTGTGCCAATAAAACTTTATTTACAAAGGGCCGGCCTGGTGGTGCACTGCTACAGTGCGCCGCTTGGGAGCGCGGTGGCGCTCCCGCCGAGGGTTCGGATCCCACATACAGACCGGCCGCTCACTGGCTGAGCGAGGTGCAGGCGCAACACCGAGGGTTGCGATCCCGTTGCCGGTCCCGGTCCGGTATGGGCGCGACACTGAGGGTTGCGATCCGTTGCCGGTCATGAAAAAAAAGACAAAAAGGAAGAAAAAAAAAAAAACTTTATTTACAAAAATGGGTGATGGGCAAGATTTGGCCCCTGGGCCATAGTTTGCTGACTACTGATTTAAATGTTTATCAGGGTCTTACTGGGTGCCAAGACCTGTTCCAGGCACTGGATGGACAGATGTGCAAAAACATGAAAAAGTACAACTTCAGACAATGATGAAACAAAAAACAGGATGGTAGGAGGGCAGCGGGTGGGAGGGGAGAAGGGAAGGAAGGCTTCACAGAGGAGGTGTCCTGCAGCCTTGAAGATACCAGAGAAGGTGCTCCAGGCAGAGGCACAGCAGGTGCAAAGGCCCTGGGGCAGGGCCAAGCCTGGCGTGTGGGAGGAACAGCAAGGAGGCCCGTGTGGCTGGAGCAGAGTGAACGAGGGGGCGAGACGGAGGAGGGGAGGGCAGGGAGGGGACGGGGCCGTCAGGCAGGGCCTGTGGACTGAGAAGAGTGGATTTTGTCTGCAGGGCACTGGGGAGCTATGGAGAATTTAAGCCATATAGGGACATGACCTGACTCAATTCTGTTTTAGTGGAATCGCCGTGGCTGCTGGCCAGAGAGCAGATGAAGTGCAGAGGGGGTGGGAGTGGATCCAGGAAGGAGACCAGGGAGGGGCTGGAGCAGCCTCCACTGGACAGGTGTCTCCACCTGTGAGAGCCTCAGTTTCCCCATCTGTAAAATGGAGCTGACTGAACTCATTTATTCTCACAGCAAAGCAAGAGGTCATGGGGTGTGTAAAAGTGCAGGTTTCAGATCTGAGTTCTCGAGCTCCTCTACTTACCTGCTGGGTGGACGTGGGGAGGCCCCTCCTCCTCCCTGAGCCTCAGGTGCTTTGTGAGCTGCGTGGGACTTGCAATCGCCTCCTCCTCCAGGAAGCAGTGTTGATGGGGTTAGAAACAACGCAGGGCTTGCTCACCAGAAGAAGCTTCCTGGTGGATTCAGTTAGTGTCTGGGGACAGGTGGCTGCGACAAGACTGAGTGGGTTGAGCGTTACACCACTACAGGGGCCACCTTCTGGGACAGTCATATTTGGGATCAGGGAGCCTCCGCTGCCCCGTCCCTACCTCCAGGAGCAGCAGACACCCACAAGGGGCCACAGGCAGCCAGGCCAGGAGTTGGGGGCAGGGGCAATTCCAGCCAGTCCCTCATCCATCCCGCTACAGCTGCTGGCCAAGGACGTGACCTTTCTCCCAGATCCTGGAGCTGAGTAATTGTTACCGGAAAAATCAGTCAGCCAGCTGGGTGGCCACAGCCCTATCCTCCTGGGGACTCAGGCATGGCCCCCAGCCTGGCTACTAGAGCAGAGGGTGCCAGGACTGCCCGTGCCATACAAGAGTTCCATGCCACCCACCTGGCGAGGCCAAGGTGCCTCCTCCCCGTCACACCCCCACCCCCCCTGCATCCAACTCCCCCCAAAGCAGGTGCCCTGAAGTGACATGCTCAGTTCCCACCCTCAGGGGCCCAGAAAGCCCTGAGAGGTGGGTAGAGAAGACCTAGCGTCCCTGGCCACCCCTCTGTGTTTCCTTGGGCCCTGGTCTTGGAGGAGCAAGTCGGCAGCTCAGCCAGGAGTCTTTGCCATCAAGCAGGGCTACATTCGAATCTCGGCTCGGTTGCTTTTTTGCAGGGTGGCCCTGCGCAGGTCACTCCCCCTTTCTGAACCTCAGTTTCCACTTCTGGAAAATGGGTGCAATGAAACACCACCCCTTCCTGGTTTGTGAGGCTTACATGCGAGACCACGATGCTGAGCACAGAACGTGGTCCGGAGAGGCCGCTCAATACATGTGTAGGGTTCGGCCATCCGGTCTCAAAATACACACGGAGCACACGGCGCACCCTCTGTGTGCCGGCCCTGTCCTGGATGCTGGAGACACAGCAGTCAACGAGACGCAGCAGGACACCTGTGCTGGAGGAGCTTGAATTCCAGAGAGGGAGACACACAGTACATGAAAAACAACATATAAACGTCAGGGAATGATGACCGCTACGAAGAGAAACGCAGCCTTCATTAGATTTTATGATCGTTGTGAGCGTGGCTGTTGGTACCTAGTTGATAGTATTTATAGCCTCAATTGGAGCTTCCACAGCCATCCAAGGCATGCAGTGATTTAGCACTGACTGTTTACCAGGCTCCAAACACATAACTCCACTAACCCACTTTCCAGAAGAGAAACTGAGGTTTCGGATTTGCTCGAGGTTGCCAGCCAATCATGCAGGCAGAGCCGGGAGCGGATCTGGCAGGTGGCATGATTCCTGGACCCACCCACCCCCACTCCCTGGGCCAAGCTGGCACCATCCCAGCTGAGCTTCCCAGCAGGGGATCAAGAAGCACCTGGCCTTGGGAGGGAGGGAGAGAGGTGGCCACAGCAGGCATGGGGACTGACCAAGGAGGGAGCAGGGTGCCCGCCCCCGCCCCCACGGCTGCCCGGGAAACGCCAGAGCCTAATCCTGGCTCAAGGGGACACGTTGTACCAGAGATTATATAAACCGACCTCTCCCTTTGTTTGTTTAATTCTTTCAAGCTTTTCCCCTCATCTGTCACTCTTTAATCACCCTGTTAATGAGGCTGGGGGTGGGGTGCTCTGGGTCAGGCCTCTTCAGGAGGGGGGTCTGCAGCCCAACCCCCCGCCCTGGCCAGCCTATCCCTTCCCCCCCAGCACACACCAGGTCCAACTAGTGGAAGGCACGTCTGAGAGATGGCAGCCCGAGGCTGAGACCAAGGGCACCGGGGTCAGGCTCCAACCCCGCCATGACTGCTTCTCCACTCTCTGCCTCAGTTTCCTCCTCCAGGGTGTCGAGGACAAGGCCATGAGAGAAAGCATGGGACGTCATAAGCACAGTCAGCAGGGGCTGGTTTCTATGATTATGCCCACCCCGCCTGCACTGGGGGCACCTGGGGCAGTTCATTCACTCTCAGGACAGCCCTGGGACACGGTGATCGTGGTGGCCCTGGACCTCCCCAAGACTTGGTGTTTCCATCTGTGAAATGGGAGGCCCACATGAACTTCCCTGCCACCTGATCCTCGGGGCAATCCCCCCAGGGAGGCCTGAGTTCAAATTTCGTCTCCTTCTCTCCCTGCTGTGCCCCCGTGCCTCAGTTTCCCCATCTGTAAAGTGGGGTTCATAACAGTGCCCCCATCCTCCACAGTCCCTGAGAGGGTTCAACGTGCTAATCCTTATAAAGCATTTAGAGCAGGCCCCGGCACACATTAACATATACGTGTCTGCCAAGTGAAAGAAAGTGAGAACCAAAAAAACAAGTCAATCAATAAACACACCAGGCCCATTGCACAGATGGGCAAATTGAGGCCGATGTTCACAAAGCATGTGAGGGGCAGGGCTGGGAGCTGAGAAACCAAGTCAGGCCCTCCTGGCCTCGCCCCCCTCGCAGAGCCCAGTGGAAGCAGGCCCAGTGGGCCCGGGTTCAAATCCTGGCCAGGTGGCCTCAAGCTAGTGACTCTTGTGCTCTGAGCCTGTGTTTCCCCTTCTGGTAAGACTGAACGAGATGGCTCAGGGTGGGTGGCAATGTCGGGGTGCCCAGCCACTCCCACACTTTACATAACCTGTGGCACCTCCGGAAATCAAAGTGCCAACGACTCCCTCCCGCAGTAACTGACTCCCTCCCTTTGTAACCGACTTCCTGTCGTTACCCACCCACCTTGGGTACCAGCCACCCGCTCCCCACCACAGCAGCAGAGGGGTCCAATCCCTAACCCCAGAGTTTCCTCCCCAAGGGAAGCCCGCCACCCCCCAGTCAACCTGCTATGTGACCCTGGGCTAGTGTCCAGTCAGCTCTGGCCACGGTTGGCCTATCTGGACGTGTCCCTGGTTGCTGGGGCATGGCCAGCCTGCTGGCTGCCCTCTACCTGTGGCTGGAGGGCAGAGGGCAAAGGCCAAGGAGCCCTCTTTTCAGATTGACAGAAGCAAGACTTGCCCCCCACCTTACGGAAGGGAAATTTCCAATTCAGCAGGACTTTCCAGAGCAGCCGGCAGGGCGTGGGGGGCTGCCCTGTGATGCAAGAAGACCCCAGCCCTGCCCTGGAGGGGAATGTGGAGGGTTGGGGAGGAAGTCTCTGGGGTCACACCACCTGCCAGCAGGACAGCTGGCAGATAATGACAGCCACCATCATTCATATGACTGTCTCATTTTACCAATGGGTAAACTGAGGCAAAGAGCAAGGCCACCACCTGCCCAAGGCCACATGGTCTGTAAGTGGCAAAGCCAGGACTTGAACTTCCAAAGGCCTGACTGCTGGGGCGTTGTGAGGAGGGGGGTCTGAAAAGGAAGCCTCAGTGGGCTTAGTGGGTTTGGCGATCTTTTTTTTTTTTTTTTTGTCTTTTTCCGTGTCCGGCAACGGATCGCAACCCTCAGTGTCGCCCCCGTACCGGACCAGGACCGGCAACGGGATCGCAACCCTCGGTGTTGCTCCCGCGCCTCGCTCAGCCAGTGAGTGGGAACCGGTCTGTATGTGGGATCCGAACCCTCGGCGGGAGCGCCGCCGCACTTCCCAAGCGGCGCACTGTAGCAGTGTGCCACCGGGCCGGCCCGGGTTTGGCGATCTTAACACCACCCCTCACCAACACCACCCCCCATCTCTGCACAGAGGTGGATGCCCCGCCAGGCATGTTAGCAAGTTCCTCTTTGGCACATGGAGAAACTGAGGCCTCTAAAGAGAAGAGCTCCTCCAAGTTCATACAATACAATGTGAGACGCTCAGCCTGGTTGGGCGGTAACTCCCACCCTGTGCCATCCTGGCACCCCTGGGCCTCAGTTTCTCCATCTGAAGGGAGAGATGCCAGGAAGATGTGAGAGGCTGGCACAGGGGCCTGGCGTGTGTGGGCAAGCCGGGGAGTTCCAGGCGGTGCCCACACCCGGGTGCCCGCACCACACCCGCCGGGCAGAGGGGCTGGGGCGGAGGCCTTCCCCGATCACTTCCACAGAGGCCTGGGACCAACTCCGCTGACTTGCTCCATGGTCTTCCTGCTGTCCCCTGGACATGCCAAGCTTGGTCTCACTTCCGGATCTTTGTCCAAAGTCACACTAAAGCAAGTGACACAATCAGGGTCCCAACCCAGCTCAGCCTGACTCCAGAGCCCTGCTCTTTCCACAACATCTGGAGGATTTCAAAGAACTCAGGGCTCCGGCTCCCTAGCCAGGAATCCTGATGCCTGTGGGCAAATGGCTGCATCATCTGGAGCCTCAGTTTCCCTGTGTGTGTCACAAGGGTCATCCCTCGCCTGCTCACTGCTCTGCTCTATTTCAAGAGTGTGAGATGTGTCCAGAGAGTGAAAAAAGTTCGGTAAATTTCTTGCTTCACAAATCGCCGACCTGGGAAGTGCTGCAGGTTGTCTTGCCTTAGTCCCTCTTGCTGCTTTGGTTCCAGTTTGGAAGATTGAGAGGGAGGGTACCAGGGATGAACCCAAAGAGGCCCTGAGCCACACCCTCAATAAGTCCCACCTCCTGGGAGGGTTGGGGGGAGCAGCCGGGGACCTGACTTGGCAGAAACACAGGCAGCAGCCTCTACGCATAACTTGGCTCCCACCAAGAAGCCCTGCAAGGCCTGGGTGCGAGTCCAAGATGACCTGGTTACATTGGCCACCAGGCAGAGGACAGAGTGTCCAGAGGTAGGACTGGGGCATTGACATGCAGAGTGTCTGAGTTGGCCTCAGGTTCAATGTGTGACTACGAGCCTCAGTTTACTCATCTGTAAAATGGGGTGAGGAGACATGGCTGCATCGGGAATTGTGAGATTAGACTCAGGCAGGAGTGTCGTAGGTGGTCCCTGGCACATCATAGTTGCGCGATAAACTTGTCAGTGTCCCCACCTCCCAATGCCATCATTAAGATAAATGAAGCCCACCCTATAAGGTTCTGGTGCAAGGGTAGCAGGTCAATAAACGTTTGTTGGGTAAATAATAATAATTACGCAGCTCGGTCCTTGCACACAACGTCTTCCAGTTTCCAGAACTGCTGGACTTCCACAGCGGGGTTTCTCAGCCTCGGCACTGGGGACATCTGGGCCAGTGTCCAGTGTTTTTGTGTTGAAGCCTGTGCTGTGCACTGTAGGGTGTTGAGTAACATCCCTGCCTCTATCCACTAGATGCCAGCAACAACTTCTTCCACCCGCCCCCAGCTGTGACAACCAAATATGTCCCCAGACATTGCCAAGTGTTCCATGGGGGAGGGGGCGGTGAATCATCCTGCCGAAAACCACTGTTGTACAGTCTTGTTATAGATCAAAGTTCTCGTATAGCAAAGAAGAGAATTAAGGCTCAGAGAGGGTCAGGGACTGGACCAGGGTCACACAGCATGTGGAGGTGGAGCCAGCTCCTGCTGCAGCCCCAGGCGCCCGCGCTGGCCATGATTCTGGGCACACCTGGGGAGGGGTGGGTAGTCAACACCGCCAGTCGGGCCAGTGTTCCAGGAACTGGCAGAAGGGGCCCAAGGCATGCCACAGTTGCAAAATCTGAGGGCGGCATGCTTGCATGCCTGGGCAGTTGCCATTGCTTCAGCCCTGCGGGCACGCCAAGCAAGAAAAAGCAACTCAGAACTGGGCACCAGGACAAACGGTGGAATCCCAGGCATGGGAAGGGCAACTAGAACGAAGGGCCCCATCAGAGACTGTGGTTGGTGTGCAGCCAATCAGAAGATGGCTGGATATGTCCTGGCCAATGAGATTGCCCCTCTGAGCCAGGCCCCACATCCGGGCAATGCCCATTGGCCCAATAAAAGGGTCTGGGGTGGGTCGCTTTCCCAAAACTTCGCTCTTTGTTGGTTGCTTGTGTTCTTCTGCTCGTGCATCATGATATGGGGGCCTAAGGGTTGATTTTAGAGAGCTCCCTGCTCGGATATGACGCCTTGGACTGTTACCACCCTATAGAGCCAGAATAATGCTTAAAAAACATTCAAGAAGTCATTCTAATACACATTTATTGAGCACCTACCATGTGCCAGGCATTGAGAAGTGAAGATGACAGGCAGATGTAGAGGACAAGCCACACCGAAGGAAGAGTGATCCAGTAGAGGACACAGCACGTGCAAAGGTCCTGGGGCAGGACCGAGCCTGGCGTGTGGGAGGAACAGCGAGGAGGCCCCTGTGGCTGGAGCAGAGAGAGGAGGGGGAGGGGACGGGGCAGGTCAGGCAGGCCTGTTGGGCTTTGTTATTTTGAGGGTGACAGGGAGCTATGGTGGACTTTAGACAGGGGAGAGATGTGATGTGCCACCTACAGTCTAGGGGATTTGGCGCAAGGTCCTTTCCCTCTTGAGCCTCAATCTCCTCATCCGTCTAATGGGGGAGTGATAACGCCTGCCTGGGGAGCTGAGGCAAAGGTAAACAAAGGACCCTGCACGCAGCTGGCACATAGTAGGTACATGTCTTCCACTAAAGTCCAGCCCCCATCATGACCTGTCTGGACAGGCGTGTGTGGTCCCTGGTCTCCAGGCTCCTGTCCTCACCCTCCCCTCCCGTCCCCACAGTCTGTCCTCCCTGCAACAGCCAGAGGGCGCCTGTGAGCCCCTGAGCCAGGTCTGGTCCTTCCTCTGCCTACAGCCCTCCATGGCTCCCACCTTCCTCAGGGGAAAAGCCTAAGTCCTCCCACAAAGCCCTTCATGACCTGCCCGTCCCCTCCCTGCCGTCCCCCTCCCTCTCTCCCCCTCGCTCACTCTGCTCCAGCCACACGGGTCTCCTCGCTGTTCCTCCACCACACCAGGCTCGGTCCTGCCCCAGGACCTTTGCACGTGCTGTGTCCTCTGCCTGAACGCTCTTCCCCCAGATCTCCCCATGGCTCCTCCGTCGCCTCTTTCAATTCTCAGCTCCTTAAGATTGCATCTTCCAAGCCTGCCCCCCAGTCCCCCTCCCCCGCCCCCTCCCCCCAGTATTCACCACCACCCGACGCACACCCTACATTTCACTTCCAGATCTTGCTCATGGTCTGTTCCCCGCGGCCGGATCATCTGCTCCATGAGGGCAGGAATTCTGTCTCCTTCGTTTCCCGCTGCAGCAGCCCCAGAGGCCAGAACAGTGCCTGGCACACAGCAGGTGCTCGATAAATGTTGATGGATGCTTTAATGAAAGGTGGCTAATAATTACCTTTATCCACCTTGCCCAGCATTCTAGCTCAGTCCCTGTCGCCTTCTTTTACCCTTCCTCACACCACTCCGGCCCCACCCCTAGCCCTGGGGAACCCCAGGGGATCATCAGGCTGGCGGGGGAGCAGGTGGGGGAGAAGTGGGCAGGAGACCCCAGCCCCTGGAAGGCGTGGCCGGGGCTCCCCGCAGGCTGGCCCCACCTCCAGCAGCCTTCAGCCCATTGTCACGCTGACAGTCATTTACATGCTCATATGATTTTCTTCCTGAATTAAAGGAGTGGGCAGTAAACCAGGCGGTGGCCGTATTTGTGTTTGGGGGGATGTTTTGAGGCCCTGCCGAGCCTTTGCCAAGGTTGGCCAGGCCTCAGTCTAGCCAGCTTCAGAGGTCTCCTGCCGGGGTCCTTCCAGGGAAATGGCAGAGAAGAGTCTATGGGGCGGGGGGGGTGCAGACTTGTGGCGGGGTCTCAACCCCCCACCCAGCTTGGAAGCTCAGCTCGGACCCTCTGGGGGTGACAGGGGAGGCCCGGGCAAGCCCCTCCCTTCCTCATTTCTGGCTCAGGGTCCCCTCCTGTCAGCTCCAGTCTCTGCCAACGAAACCCCAGCGCTGAGGTTTTCAATGATGAACAGATGGTCACAGGCCGAGCAGGGCGGGGACTGAGCTGAGCATTGGAGGGGACCAAGGTCCCGGGAGAAATCCTGCTGCCCTCCAGAAGGGAAACTGAGGCAAGGAGCCCCTCTGTGCCACTGTGCCTGGAACGGGGAGTGGCACCCTCGGAGGGTTCCTGGTTTGGCCACGTCACCCTTGGCACAGGACAGCCCGGGGAAGGGCGGGGACCTGGGCCCGCTGCCATGTCAAATTCCTCCCAGGAGCGGTGGGGGGAGAGGGAGAGGTTTTTTGTCCCTCCCTCCCCCTCCCGGACAGAATCAAAGAGAGGAGAGAGGGCTGCTGGCAGGAAGAAGGGACTGGAGCCAGAGCCTGGGCCGGCTCACCCCGAACAATCACCCTCCCGGCCACGCTCGGCAGCTGGAGGCGGGTGGCAGCACGGGAGGACGCAGGCTCTTCCACGCCCATCTTTGCATTTTGCAGAAGAGAAAAGGGGGTGACCTCCTCAAAGGGCAGCAGACATGGCCCTCAAGGCTGCCACCTGGCTGCCACAACTCAGGGTCTTCCTGCCTCCAGACCTTTCCTGAGTCTGTCCCCTCCTGCTCGAATGCCCTTCCAACCACCACAGTTTCTCCCCAGGCCACCGTGCATCTGGTGTCTGGTCCTCCTGGACCTTCAGAGCCAAGAGGAGCGGCATTGCAACCCGAAGCCCCTTCTCCCCCCACCCAAAAAATCAGTAATACTAATCGTCTTTATTTAAACATGGAGATTTTGCTCATTTTTGATTCTTAAAAAGATTGTGTTAAAGGTCAGGTACCTTTTTTTTCCCAAAAAAACATGACCGGTAAGGGGATCTTAACTCTTGACTTGGTGTCAGCACCACGCTCTCCCAAGTGGGCCACGGGCCGGCCCGAAGGTTAGTTATCTTGATAACTGAATTTTATTGGTGCCCTCCCCTTAAATTTAGTGCTCCCCATAAATGCAGTGTTAGACTCCCCCTCATTGTGGCCCTGAGGATCCAGTATGTGCCTGACTCAATCCAAAACCCAGAGGAGGAATTCAACAAAGCACGGGATACGCACATCTGAACTCTGTCCCCAGGCTGTGGAGACAGACCCCAAACGGGCCAGAGCAGCCAGCCACAAGCAAGAACAGAGGAGCCGCAGGCCTGGTCTATGCAGGAAACTTCTGCAATGCGTGTTCAGGGAAGGCCGGGGTGACCGCGTTCCTGCCTAGTCCTGGAGCCTGCTCTTGGGGGCATGACCTCAGGAGATCCAGCCACAGCATCTTACCCGCCGTGTGACCCTGGGCAGGTCGCCTTCCTCTGAAGCCTGTCCAATCAAACAAGCTTGTAAGGGCTCCCCTGCCTGCCTCCAGGGCTGCATCAAGTGGTATAATAGCTGGAAACTGCTGCCTACACAATGGAAGCTGTTATTAGGGCTTCAGAGCCACCTGTGGGCCTCAATTTCCTCATCTATAAAATGGGCATAATGATAGCTGCTAATGCTGACCTCCCAGGGCTCCGGAGGATCAAGGGGCAATGGAGATGCTTTATGGAGGGAGGAGTCTTCTAGAAGGTTTAGCAAACCGCAAAGGTGGGGACGATGGCTTTTGCTGTGATGTCTTATTCTCCCCACCCCACATCCAGTACAATGGCACCCCCAGCAGAGACATTGAGGAGAAAACTGTAAAGCTAAAAACAGCCTCGAATCACCCAACATCAGCCATTGTTGTGATTTTTTTTGTTTATTTATTTAAAACATTTTTTGTTTTGTTTTAAAGATGACCAGTAAGGGGATCCGAACCCGTGGCCTTGGTGTTGTCAGCACCACGCTCTCCCGAGTGAGCCACGGGCCGGCGCTAAAGATTTTTCACCTTTAAGAAAATGTTTCTCTGTAACTTTCAGGAGTGATTACTGTGAGCATTTCTTGGGCTTATCATTCATTTACAAGTTTCATTCATTTGTTTTGTTTTAAAGATGACCAGTAAGGGGATCCGAACCCGTGGCCTTGGTGTTGTCAGCACCACGCTCTCCCGAGTGAGCCACGGGCCGGCGCTAAAAACCTTTTTTTTTTTTGCACCGGCTGGTATGGGGATCTGAACCCTTGACCTTGGTGTTATAACACTGGGTCCTAGCCAACTGAGCTAACCGGCCAGACACATATTAAATCTTCCACTTTGCATTCTGTTTTATTGTTTCGTTTCTTTTTGTATCACTACTTTCATTTTAGGCAGCTGGCCGGTACATGGCTGTGCTTCTGACCTTTCTTCTCCCGGTCTGCTCCCCACTCCACCTCTCTGTTTTCTCCCTACCCGCTTTTCATTGCTAAGAGGTAGAAGGCAGGACCATTTAGGAGTTAAGATGACATTAGTGCGTCAACTTGTCCACATTCAAATCCCAGGCTTACCTCCTACTGGCTGCGTGACTTTGGGCAAGTCCCTCAACCTCTCTGTACCTCAGCTTCCTTCTGTGCAAAATGGTAGTGTCCCTTCCACATGAATTGGTGGCAATGATTTAACGCAGGGATCAGCAGACTGCATCCTAAAAACCAGTTTTTTTCATGCAGCACATGAGCTGGATTGTTTTTACCTCTTTAAGTGGTTGAAAGAAAACAAAAGAATATTTTGTGATGTGTGACAGGTAAGTGTTACTCACCTTTCAGTGTTTCTAAGTAAAGTTTTATTGGCACACAGCCACACCCTTTCATGGACGTGTAGTCTATAGCAGCCTTTGTTACCAGGGCAGAGTCAGGTAGGTGCAGCAGGGATTGTATGGCCACAAAGCCGAAAATATTTAGTCTCTGGCTCTTTCTAGAAAAAGTTTGTTGACCCCTGAATTAATGCATGACAAGCACTTTGAACAGCCCTGGGCACAAGATGTGCTTGTTGTTAAAAGTGTGGTTTGTACAAGAATTGTGTCTCATTTTTTCCCCTACAAACCTTGCATCATCAGCATTTCTCCCACAATGCTGACAATTTTGGGAAGCCTGCCTTACTCTGCCATGCTGTGAAATTTCCTCAACAATCCCTGAAAGGTGGGCACTTAGGTTGTTCCCAGTTGCTAAGGCAGAAACACCGTGGACAGCCTTGCATCTCAAGCCAGGTTTGTTTTTATGAAATAAATGCTTCTACGTCATTCACTGTCCTAGGCACTTTGCAAATATCAACTGTTTCATCTGCACTATGACCCTAGGATCCTCCTGTTTTGCAGATGGGTAAACCAAGGCTCAGCTGGTCGTGGTGACTTGCCCAGGTTCACACTGCCAGGATTTGAACCCCGGCTGGCTGGCTCCTGTCTGTGCCTTGAGCCTCTCTCCCCCTTCCTTAAGGTAGAGACCAGAAGTCAAATCCCCAAATCCCCATGTCAAAGGGGTACAAGGATTTGAAGACTCCAG